AATATCAACAATGTTCATATGAAAGTCTTGAATACTTTCATCATCCTCCATCCTCGTGTTCTTAAACTTAGTGGTGAGAAGTTAAAGTCTTGAAGACTTTACCCTAGAATTTTCTTCATGCACAATCTTCAAAATCTCCCAAGCATCCTTGGCAACAATACATTTTTTGATCAACCTGAAGATGTTCTTGTCAACACCATTGAATAAGGCATTCAAGGCTTTGGAGTTACCTTGAGCAAGCTTGTCATCTTCATCATCCTAGTCTTTCTTAGGTACTAGTGATCTTCCCATCCTTATCTTTAGCCTTTGGTGGGTCCCACCCTTTGACCATAAACTTCCAAGCTTTACCATCCATAAACTTGATGAATGCCACCATGCGCACTTTCTAATATTCATAATTGGAACCATCAAGAATATGTGGTCTATTTAATATTCCTCCTTCTTTATCCATTGAACCAGAAAGTATTGTCCCTGAATCTCACCCAGATGCAGAGTAGGATGCCTGCTCTGATACCAATTGAAATTCTGGTAGCAGATCTAAGATGTCCTGAGAGATGTCGAGACACTTGATCTCTGCTTCAAACACAATGACAACAAGGAACATAATACAAATAGTAGAAAGTAAACAACACACATAATTGTTAACCCAATTTGGTGAACAACAACACCTACGTCTGGGGGCTACCAAGCCAAAAATGAAATCCACTATATAGTATTAGTTCCAAGCTAAACTCCCCTGTTTATAACTTATCACTTAATCACTACCTATGATTAATTTCTACCTAAGACTCTTCCTAGGTATGAGACCCTTCTCAATTCCCTTTCAATCACAGCAGTGACTGAAATTATAACTCAATATAAATTGTCCAGCTCTGGTATCAACACGACACAAGAGAGGCTCATAAAATACAAACCATAAACTCAATAGGCAACAATGTATTTTTCCACACTTGTCCTAGGTTAAATCCATCCTATTTATAACCATAAACAAGACTAGATTTGGGCTTCAAAAATGCAGCAGTTATGTTCCATAGAATCTTCAACTAATTCTCCTCTAGAATAGTTTCTTCAACCCTAAGTTTCTTAAAGTGTCTTCACACTTAGAAACAACATCTTCAAATTACAATCAAAGTCTCTGATTCCTCAATCTTGGACGCCACCTAGAAAAAATAAATAATCCCATAATAATCTGAAATCTGGAATAACATAATTAAAAATGAAAAGTAACAAACAAAGATGTCGAATCATCATATTATGACATATTGTCTAACATCTTGATCTTTAGTTAGTTCATCATGTTATGACATTTTGTCCAACATCTTGTTGACAAGTTAGTTTTACCAAAATTGATGCCAACCTCAAAGGCTTGGACTCATCAATCTCCCTCTTTGACAGATTTTGGCTAAAATTAACTAAAAGAAACTTGCAGACAGAAAACCATAGTCCAGGGCCAAGAAACAGAACATCAGAACATTAGCAGCGGAAAAACATCTTGCCTCCCCCTCAATCAGTTCCTTCTTCTGCAAGCAACATATTATCATACTCCCCCTCAACTAGTTGACGAATTATTATTGGATCATTCTTGACACTTTGAGGTGTTGATAGGTTGCCCTTGATTGATCATACATTCGAATCTCTTGATGATACATGAGACCATTGTGTCGATTTGAGTTTGCTTTCGATTTTCTTATTGTGTTGCATATTTTAGGAGAATAACTTTGTGTTATTTCTCTAACATGTTTGAACACATATATTCTTATTGAACGACCTCATATAGGTGTGGTTTTTACATAAGTCCATTTACAATTACTTAACATATCGCTAGATTGTCCCGATGTGATTAATCGATCATTCGGTCACTAACTACTATATTCAAACATCTAACTTTTATGTTATTGCACTTTATTTTCTCGTAATTTACTTCTCTTCATTTACTTTCCGCAATTTATTTTATTGCTCATTTATCATTCATGTCTTTACTTTGTGTCCTTTTCTTCCTTTTTGATCTTTATTCCTTATCTTGTAAAAAATACAAAAAACATGATACAAAACGGAAAAGACCTAAAAAAACTTGGGAGACATAAATGGGCTGTGGATTGTGCAGATGACCTTGGCATCATGGAGTTTTGGACTTAATGTTTGACCCTAGCAAAAGGAGACTTGGATTTTTAATTAATTAATTAGATGCTTTTCTGAATACTTAATCCATTTGTGTATGATTATTTGTTTGAGATTGTGTTTATTACTTTACCTTTCTCCTATTTAACAAAGTGTATCCCTACTCTTTGGACTTGTAATAATTGTATCACTTCCTTAGGTTTTTAGTTTTTTTGTTAACATTACACGTAAAATGAAATCGAACCTAAAGCATACTCAATCCACATATCGAGCCATCTGTTAACCCTTGTAATTCGACCGCCTTGTGTATTTTCATCAACTAAATCCAAATCAATTTCGCAATTAATTAAACGAAAATAAGTGGTCTAAAGTCTTCTATTTTCTTCTCAAATGATTGGATACGAGTAGCCTTACTCAGCCATCAAGTATTCGTCGTTCATCAAAACACTTAACATTATCAAACACCATTTCATTAAAGATGAAAAGGGGGATAGTCTGGATTCTTCAATTCCTCTCCTCAATTGTTTGGGTACGAGTTGCCTTACTCACTAGTCAAACAATTGTCATCTCTAAAAACTTGTAATCTGATTCACCTTAAAACCTTTTCGTACTCAAATTAAATTAAAACGTATTTTCCTAATAACTTAGATGAAAAGGAGAGTGGTCTAGAATCTTATATTCCCATTCTCGAACGGTTGGATACGAGTAGCCTTACTCGGTCATTCGAGTATTCGTCATCCATTTAAAATACCTTAAATATTCAAATCCTCTCCTTGATTATTTGGATACAAGTTGCCTTACGCGACCATCTGAGTAATCGTCATTCAAACAAAACATTCAACATGTTAATTCAACGTCTCGCCCCGTGCGATTAAAACTTTTTCTTAAAAGAACAATCTTTAGTCCCTTCTAACGTGTATACAAACTAAATGCTCAAGTCTCCGTCGAGAGTAGACAAGCTACTGTTTAGCCCTTAAAAAGCAATCTAAAAATTTGTTTGATAAAACAAACCAATAAGTCATAGTCCCCTGAACTATAGAGCTCTGATTTTCTTATTGCACTATGAGGATGCGTAGGTATAAGATTGTGAGATCTTAGCGAACACCCTGATAAAAACTTCTTTCATTTCTCCTCTTTGCGGTTTTCCTTTCTTTTCTTTTTACATCTTTATCTTTTGAAGAGAACAAATATCATAAGTTAACATTCAACCACAAATTAGAGTAAGATGTTCCGTTTGAGCACAACGGACGTGAGAGGTGATAATACATTCCCCTTGCTTAATTGACTCCCGAACCCGACTATGGCTGCGACGACCATTATTCTGTTTTTTAGGTTTTATTAATATTTTCCTATTCCATCTTGGAATAAATAAAGTTTGGCGGCGACTCTGTTCAAACTATTTTTTTCCGCGACCATCGCGAAGGATCATATTTTTCGAGGTACAACACTAACAAAGTTTGATATTCAATAGTTTACATTTTGTACAATAAAGTTATTGAATGATCTCACTAAAGTAAAGTAGGACCAGTTGAAAATCGACATATACAACTTCGTGTGATTTTCATGTTGCACATTTCATGATGGACCTATGTCATTTAGTTGTATCACTATTGGTGATCATTGATGAGTTTATTTACGATTGATATAACGAAAATCACATTGATTATGTATATTAGTATGATTAATGGACAAGATAGTTTGGATATACTTGAAGTATGTACTGACAAATTTTGAGCTCATCAAGTCTAACACGCTTGTAAAGTTACATGTGTGACCAGTGAGAAATTCTAGAATATTGGGTCACAAGTGTAACATTTAAGGTGTTAGTGTCATTATTTTAATTAGTCAAGACTTAAAGGGGTCTAATTAATATAATATTAGATTTGTGGATAAAAGTATAAATGTCATGAAAGATTAGGTTATTTTATATATATATATATATATAATAAAATGTAATTTTCACCTTCTCATATACATACGCACCTTTCACCTACCAGCAAAGAAATAAATTAATGATACCGTGTGATAAAAATCAACATGAAGCTACTTTTACTTTTTAATACTATAAGAAAACGTAGGGCAAAAAATATTAGTTATAAGTGAGATATGCCCCTTGAAGCATGCATACAAGCAATAATTATATAATTTTGTTCTTTTATAAAGGAACCAAACAAAACAATGGAACAAGCAAAGATAAAGCAGACCCTCAAACCATAATTCCCGCTTACTTTTACTTTAATAATGCAATTAATTATGCAGTTTTAATAATCATCTACTTCAATCAATTTCATTAATTTGATAATGTAATACTTAAATCTTAAACATTATTAATGAAAATTAAAACATCGCCGAAAGAAAATATTTATAGTGTAGTTGTAGATTTTGTTCACACTCCGTCAAACATAGTCAGCCATACGAGATCACGACAAGAACAAAAAAAAAACAACACAATTTCTAACGTCATTTTCCCATATTTTGTTATTACAATTACATGATATTTTTTTTCTTATAAAAAGGATAACTTTTAGATTTGAAATAATGATTAAAAACAAAAAAAAATATTTCTATAACTATGTAAAAAAATTAATACTATTACTTTTTCAAATAATTATTTAAAAATAATTTCTTTCCATTTTGTCGCATATTTGTTTAAATTTTAAAAATGCTTAAAAAAAATGTTTATTTTGAAAATTGTTTTTGTGTGACAAATTGTAATTTACTTAAGAAAATATTTTTCAAAAATAACTTTTATATTTTTTTAAAACGGCTAAAAAAAGGTTAGAAATTGGTAATAATAACTAAGGCGGTAGATAGATGCAAAACAAAAAGACGAAGCTTTCTCTTTCTGTCTGAGTTCCGAGTTAACTCAGTTACAGACCAAAATGAGTCAGGAATCGTTCATATACAGTTTCGTGGCTCGTGGAACGATGGTGTTAGGTGAGTACACCGAGTTTACTGGGAACTTCCCTGCCATTGCAGCTCAGTGTCTTCAGAAACTACCTTCTTCAAATAACAAGTTCACCTACAACTGTGACCACCACACTTTCAATTTTCTGGTTGAAGACGGTTATGGTAACTTTGATCTGTTGTTTCTTTCTCTTTGCTTTGTGTAGTTGTGTGCATTGCATGCTTTGAGTGATTTGTTTTGTTGTTGGAACCATAATTGGAATTGAATCTGAATTTTGCATGTTTTTAGGTGGTGGATCCAATTTAGTGTGTATAAAGTTTTGATCTTTTGGGTTTTGTTTGGATTTTGAGTTAATGTTACTGTTAGGTTTTGTTGTTTTGTCGATTCTTGTTATGTTTTGGTGATTGAAGTAAAGAAGTGAAATAACAGTTTAGAGAAGGTTAATTTGATTTACTGAGCTCTAATTAAGGTTAGTCAGTCAACTAAGGTCAATGATTTTTTTGTCGGGTCGTCCGCAACCGTGATCTAGTCTTCTATATAATGATTTTTGTTGTTGCTGAAATGCAACTGCAATTCTGGCTGCATTTAAACACTGTAGCACTGTCGCCTCTTGAAGAAAAAAACGTGTCAGTGTCCGTGTTAGAAACCAATTCTTTATGTCACATTAGGAATAGAGTTTAAGTAAAACAATCTTCATCATCCAGAAGCGTTAATCAAGACTAGTGTCTCTCACATTCTCACCAGGTACACACACTTATAGAAAGAGTATCAGGTCAGAACATGATATTTACGGTATGACTTACACAAATGATCAAGATTAGGTCCTTCCATGCTCTAGCTAGATATAGACATAACCCTTGTATACATATCTATGTGTATTTTTCACTTCTGTTTTTGCGTTGATTATAAACATTAAGCTGCAGCGCAATGACTGTTTTGCGTCTCGTCTTTCTATTAATTTCAGCTTACTGTGTTGTTGCCAAAGAATCTGTAAGCAAGCAGATCTCTATTGCATTCCTTGAACGCGTCAAAGCTGACTTTAAGAAAAGATATGGTGGTGGAAAAGCAGATACAGCTATTGCCAAAAGTTTGAACAAGGAATTTGGGTATACTCATTTTGTTCTAAACCATTGGGGATTTGTTGATTGATATCTTAATGCTTGGATAGACAAATTATATATGGAATTTAATAATAATGCGTGCACATTTGCAGACCAATTATGAAAGAACACATGAAGTATATCATTGATCACGCTGAAGAGATTGAAAAGCTATTAAAAGTGAAGGCCCAAGTTTCAGAAGTTAAAAGCATCATGTTAGAAAATATAGACAAGGTACTGTTTGTGTGAAAGCTAAATTACGAATGCCATTGAAATGAAATAAAAAACTTGTATTGCAATATGGAGAAATGAGTTACACAAAATCTGATTTACAATGCTCAAGCTAGTGCTACTTATAACAATAAGAGTTAGATATCACCAATGACTAATTTTCAACTAACTCATAACTAACTAATGTAGGTTAGTTATGACTAATAAAACTAAGAGTTACACCAATGGGGAAGTTGACTTGTTACACAAGTAACTTCACCAATAACAACTAACCCTTATGTTTAACATCTCCCATAAGGTAGAATAGATGTTAATCATTCCTAACTTGCTTTGAAGATTGCTGAATGGTCCTATGTGCAATGACTTGGTCAAAATGTCTATGGTCCTATGTGCAATGACTTGGTCAAAATGTCTGTCACTTGATTTTTGGATGCAATTGGAAGTAAATGAAGGATTCCTGCCTACACTTTGTCTCTAACAACATGACAATCGATTTTTATATGCATGATTTTCTCATGGAAACCTGGATTGACTGCTATGTGAAGAGTTGATTTGTTGTCACAATAAATCACAATTGGAGAAGAGTGTTTGATGTGAAAATCCTGTAGCAAGTATAAAATCCATTGTCCTTCACATGTGGCTTGGGCTAATGCTCTATATTCAGCCTCAGATGAAGATTTAGATACTACTATTTGTTTCTTACTTTTCCAACTAATCAAAGAGTTCCCAAGGAAGAAACAAAACCCTGTTATAGATCTTTTAGTGTCTGGACACGCTCCCCAATCAAAATAAAAAAATCCTTGGTGTGCTAGTGCTAATGATGAGCTAAAGAAGAAGCAATTACCATGACTATCTTTGAGGTATTTCAGAACATGTAAGCGTGCTAGCATGTGTTCATCAGTTGGTGCACTTAGAAACTAACTGAGCTTACTTACAACATAAGAAATCTCTGGCTTGGAATGTGTTTGGTACAAAAATCTCCCAATTAACCTCTTGTAAGCAGTTGGATTAGAAAGTGAGTCACCAGACCCCTCATGCAAGTGTAAGTGAGGCTGCATATGAGTAGTGCAAGGTTTTACTTCACTAAAACTTGTGTCTTGCAAGAGGTCTAGTGTGTATTTCCTTTGGCATAATGTGATACCTTCTTTTGGTCTGCTCATTTAAAAACCTATAAAGTATTTAAGAACTCCTAGATCCTTGATGCTAAATTTGTCATCTAAGAGGTCTTAATGTTGGTAATCTCATCAACATCAGTCTTCCCAAATATCACTGCGAAATGTGCACCGTTAGACTTAATGTACAAGGAATATTCAGATTTTGATTGAGTGTAATCTGAGTGTAAAAGAGTTTCAGTGAGTTTTGTGTTCCATTGTCTGCTTGCCTGCTTCAAGCCATAAAGAGATCTTTGAAGTTTGCACATCATATTAGAATGAGGCAAATTAAGACCTAGAGGAGCTTGCATATAGACTTCTTCATTAAGATCTCCATGCAAGAATGCTGTATTGACATCAAGTTAAAACAATGGCCACTTCCGAGCAACTGCAATGACCATGAAAACTCTGATGGTTGTTATTTTGACAACTGGACTGAAGATGTCCAAATAATCTTGCCTTATATCTCTTTACAGGGCCACTGCTTTCTTGTGATTAGGCAAGGGAAGTAACTTCCACGAGTTAGTCTTTATTAGTGCAGTCAGTTTAGATTGAATGACATTACTCCAATTCTCATCACAAATGGCTTCTTCATAATTGTTAGGTTCATAAATGGATGACATATTAAGAATGTATTATGTATATGCAGTAGAAAAATTATGATATGAAATGAAAGAGGATAGAGGTGCTTACTTTGAAAAGAAGCTGGAATGTCAACTTAATTAGGGGACTGAACTGTATTCTCAATAAAGTTGCAATGATAGTCTTGTTAAAATGAGGGAGGTTTAGTAACTTTAGTAGATCTTCTAGGTTGAAGATCAGGATCAAGTAAATTAAGTGATGGAGACATGATAGGTAGGTAACTTGTGTTGGTAGGTGAGGTAGATGAAGGAGGTGATTAGTTATTTGGTGAAGGAGAAGAGGTAGAATTATGTTTAGTAAAGGAGGTAGCAGGTGTATTTACAATAGGTGGATATGGAATCTCAGGATGATGACTATCTGGTGTGATATGGGATTGGGAATCACGAACATAAAGAAAATCAAATATACTAGTTTGATGGGAAGAATTGTAATGTGAAAAATAAGAATTTGATGAGATATTGGTGGAATGTGTGTAAGCAAAAATTGTTTTAAAGAAAACAACATCTCTAGACATAAAAATTTCTTTGGAATGCAAGTCAAATAAAATGTGTCTCTTAAGACCAATCTGCAAACCTAGATGCGAACATTTCTTGGATCTTGAGTCTAGTTTCTTCCTATTGGCTTATAGGGTTGGGACAAAACAAAGAGAACCAAAAATTCTAATAAGATTAATGTCAGTAAGCATTGATGTAGAATTTGAAAAAGTGACTTGTTGTGCAAGAAAGGTGTCAGAAGTCTATTAATAATGTGATGGCATGACTAACTGCATAAGACCATAAAATCTTTAGGAGTTTGGCTTGGAATAGAAGGGCTCTAATAATACCAAGTATACGTGAGTTCTTCCTCTCAACAATGCCATTTTGTTGAGGCGTACCAACACATGAAGTAGGATGTGAAATGCCTGATTCCTTATAGAAATCTCTAAAGAATAAACTCATTGTCATTATCTGATCTAATGCATTTGGTGTTGCTATTAAATTGAGTGTGAACCATAGAAACAAAAGCTCTAATAAGGTTTGGTGTTTATAATTTACATTTCATGAGAAAATCCATGTAAATTGACTTTTGTCATCAACAACTGTGAGAAAATATTTGTGGCCATTTATTGAAGGGATGGACAACGGACCCCATATGTCCATATGAACTATGTCAAAAATGTTAACAGATTTGTGAGTGCTATTAGGGAATGATAATCTCTTTTGTTTGGCATAAAAGCAAACATCACAAGGCATATCAAACTGCATAATTTTGACAAAAGGAAAAGTTTTCTTTATTTCAATCAACTTGTCATATGAAGGATGACCAAGTCTTCCGTAGGGGTGTTTGCGGGCCGATTTAGTTTGGTTTTGAGAGAATCCGATGCCCAAACTGATTAAAAACATGTGGATTGTTTTGGATTGAATTTGCACAATTTTGAGATAAAGCCCAAATCTAACCGGTAAGCAATGGGTTGGTTTGGATTAGATTGATCAGATACACTAGAAACAAATGTGCAAAATTATTTTTAAAAAAATATCTAATTTACATAATAAAATTTTTCATAAAAATAAGGAGCCTTGAAATTGACCAGTAGGAAAAGCCAAAACTTTGGATTTGTTAATGGGAGAAACAGTTTGTCTTTGTCGTTGAACAAGCAGAGAGTATACCTTGCAAATGTTTGGAAGAGGATCCGTCAACATGATTTGAGATCTAACTATAGAGTATTGCTCATTCAAACCTTTCAAGAATCTGATGACTTGATCAAAATCCTTGTATCTATGAATTTTGTCAATGGCTATACACGATATATCCCAATCACATGCAGGAATTAGATGAAAATTGTCTAATTCTTGCCATAACATCTTTAATTTCCTGTAATAAGAAGAGATAGAGCAATCGCCTTGCCTTAGACTACAAATTTCTTCTTGAATATCTGAAATTCTGAACACATCACCATGATAAAATCAATCTTTCAGTTCTTTTCATATGTTGGAAGTAGTCTCCATCCACAATATACTGAGAAATTTTAGATTCAACTGAGTTCAGTCATAACATGATCATCGTGTTTCATCGATCCCAAGCAATGGAATTCCGATGTTCATCTGGTGGTCTTGGCAAAGCACCATTGATGAAATGAAGCTGGTTCTTGGATCTTAAAGCCATTGTCATGGATCTGAACCAAGAATGATAATTTCAGGCATTCCACAAGGGAGTAACTAACACAAGAGCTGAATTTTCATTAAGATGCATGAAGTAAGGGGTTAAGGTATCATTTTGATAATCTTTATTGAGATTTGAAGAAAGATTGTTCTGATGTGATGGAGCATGACCACTAATGGTGTTCGAAAAACTCTCAACAGACATTATTGAGAGAAGAAGAAGAAAAAGAAATAATTGAATTACGATCAATGGAAGAAATGAAAAACAGGTTGAGATTTGTGAAGATTATACAACAGCGATGGTAAAGGCGTAGCCCTAGGTTGATGATAAAGCTAAACTATGAACACCATTGAAATGAAATGAAAAGCTTGCATTGCAATATTGAGAAATGAGTCACACAAAATTTGATTTACAATGCTTAAGCTAGTGCTACTTATAACAACAAGAGTTAGTTATCTCCAATAACTAATTTTCAACTAACTCATAAGTAACTAGTGTAGTTTATTTATGACTAACAAAGCCAAGAGTTACACCGATGGTGAAGTTGACTTGTTACACAAGTAACTTCACCAATAACTAACCCTTATGTTTAAGGGTTTGTTTAGGAATACGACTTGGAGATTTTTTCTTGATATTTATTTGTTTGAATTGACTTGTTTAAGCTTATCTATTGTAAACACTTGTGAGAGTATTTGAGGGAGTTTATTGAAACAACATATGACATGTTCACAAGATCTTCAAGATAGCGTATGAAAATAACTTATATAACTTGCGTCAGTTATGACCTATGAAGTACTGGCACAGACACAACACTGACATTCCGACACCAATAATTATTTGAGAAAATAGATAATTGAATGCAACCACACATGTCAGTGTTGCGTTAGTGTCAGACACTGACGTGTCACACACCATACACGTCTTCAATTTAAAGTGTTAGTGCTACATAGGTTATGACTTTGCAATGTTCATTTAGCGATTATTCTTATAAGTCTTTCGTTTGTGAATTCATTTGCTTCTAAACTGTTATTCACTGCTGTTTGCAGACAAAAGAATTCTGCTTGAAACTTTGAGTGACTGAATTATAACCTATGAAGTCTTGTTTAACCTCAAAATTGTTTCTTTCCATTCTCTTGTGTGTGTGTGTGTTACTGAAGCTCTAGTTTTATTGAAGCTGAATTCATTTATTTCAATACTAGACAAGACAGTATATAAACTTCAACATCTTTATTTTCATCATTTGTGTTTTCAGGCTATTGATAGAGGAGAAAACTTAACCGTTCTTTCAGACAAAACCGAGACATTGCGTTCACAGGTAAGTTGGCTGAGGTTAGATAGTAGTATTATTTTTGAAACTTATGCTTTCTAAGGCTAAAAGATTTCCCAACTTCCAGGCTCAAGATTTCAGAAAGCAAGGAACACAGGTCCGGCGCAAGATGTGGTATCAGAACATGAAAATTAAATTGGTTGTTCTTGGAATTCTGTTGTTTCTGGTCCTGGTTATCTGGCTCTCTATTTGTGGTGGATTTGATTGTTCAAATTAGCAATAATTAAAACTTTACTAATCAGGTTCTTATTTCAAGAGTTTAATAACTATAGATTGATAGTATAAAAAAGTTTTGCCAAGACATTTAATCATATTTTTCCATTTTATTATGTCATAATTTTTGTAAGTTATTGACAGTGGAAATGGTGAAAATATGATTGAATGTTTATGTGAAATTTTTGTATACTGTCAGTATATAGTTAATATTTTTATTTATAGATGATGTTGAAATGGGTAACTTAAGAAGAAAATCAAACCAGGAGGGTCAATTTGTCAATTGGAAAAAAAGTTTCCTACAATGTTTCTGGTGGATAAAGATATGAATGTTATTAGAAATTGTTTAATAGAAGGAAAGGGTTTATCAGTATGTTTGGTCTCAATTTATAAAAGATATGTGTTTAAAACAAAAAATTGTGGAGTTTTTGTTTAAAATTATAGCGTGCACAACATTATGCCTAATTCCTTTTGCTATAACAGGTAGAATTTTTCTAAAATCACTACAAAATACCACAACTTTACTACCAAATGGAGTGTTCTTATTACCTTCCTCATAAGACAAATGAATGTCTCTAAAAGTTCCATTAGTAATTTCAAATCAATGTTTATGCGTCATTGGAGCTTTATCACATATAATTTAGCTTTTCATTTGCTATTAAATTGACTAATGCATATTTCAGATTTATGAAACATGTTGAACACTCTTCAAAAATTTATAGGCATACAAAATTTTGAATGTGCAATTCTTCCACCAAATATTAATAATGCAACAATTCTACTCAAATCGACTGTAACAATAATATTCCCTTTTGATCTTAGTGCGATAGACATGACCCTTCAAATAAATGTTTTTCCCAGTCCACTATAACTATAAAGAAAAAATAGATCAGACTTTTTTTTTTTTTTCATTTACCTAGTCTATTACTTTGTCATTAACTCTTCTTTGCTCTTGAGTCATCGTCGACATTAATCGAATATATTTATCTGTCATAATTTAATTCATTACTTATCAATCTATTTTGAGATTCAGAGAGTATTGACATGTCTGATTGAGGCACTGTAGAAAAATCCGTTAAACTTCTACCATTACTCTGTAACAAAATTTCAATATCATCCGATGTATCTGTTGAGATTTAATCCATAATTGTTATGTTAATTAGTTAGTTATCTAATGTAGATAACTTTCTTTGCAAGTAGTTGTGTAATGCATATAAATAACACCTTGTAATGTGAATAAAACAATTAATTAGAATCTTCTCTATTCTATCTACTCTCTACTCTTTCTTCTCTTCCAAGTTTTCTATACATTAATGAGCGTGTGTACCATTTAAATCATCCTGCAATTTTCATCTTTTTCTTGCTGCGCATACATTGTGATTCATCACAGTGCTGGTGTTCTAACAATTGGCATCTAGTGACTGATTTGATCTAAGAGAATGACAAGTAAAAAGTGAGGGGAATAATCAAGAGAAACACTAAGTGATCGATTCTTGATAGGTAAGATGAATAACAATGGTTTTGGATCAAATATTTTGGTTCTTGATGGCAAGAACTGCGATCCTTGGAGTGCTTTGATGAAATCATTATTTGGAGCACAAGAAGTGAGTGAAATTGTGCAGAATGGCTATGAAGATCTGGTGGTGAATCCAACTGATGCACAAAGGACTGCATTCAAGGAAGCCAAGAAGAAAGACTGCAAAGCTTTGTTCTACATTCAGCAGAATATTGACAATCAACACTTTGAGAAGATTTCTAAACCTACAAGATCCAAAGAAGCATATGATATTTTAGAAAACTATCACACTGGTGGAGAAAAGGTGAAGCAAGTGAAGCTACAATCCTATAGAAGAAAGTATGAGATGATGAAAATGGAAGAAGATCAAAAAGTAAGTGATTACTTTTCAAAGTTAACAACCATTATAAATCAGATGCAAACTTGTGGTGAGAATATTACAAATCAGATGGTAGTAGAAAAGGTGTTGAGATCTTTAAGTCCAAAGTTTTATTTCATAGTTGTAGCTGTCCAAGAAGCAAAGGAAGTGAAAACTATGAAAACTGAAGAGTTACAAAAATTCATTGGAAGCACATGAGCTCCTGGTGTTTGATAGAAGTTCTGAGAGATTAGTTTAACAAGTATTCCAAGTTCAAACTTCCAAGACGGAGGGAAATCAGAATTTATTCAATAAGAAAGGAAAGAGAAAGGAAAATTGGTCCAACAATGAAAAGAATAAGACTCAAGACAAAGCTAAATCTTTAAAGAGAGGAGGTTTTGGCAGAAGTGAAAACAAGAAGAGAGATTTTGACAAAAGTAAGATGCAGTGTTACAACTGTGAGAAGTATGGACACTTTGCTGATGAATGCTAGTTCAAGAAAGATCAAAAGTCCAATGGTTGCTCAAATGCAACCAAAGATTCACTCACACACAAGGACCCAATAAAAATTGCGTACCTATTTCCCTTGTTTAATTTTATAAGTACAATGTCTTGAATCTACAGAGAGAAAACGGTTTTTCGATAGTGGATGCTCAAAACACATGACGAGAGCCATTTCCTTATTCATTGACTTTGTGGCAAAGAAGAAAGGATTTGTGACCTACGGTGACAATAACAAGGGATCTATACTCGGTAAAGGTAGTGTAGGTAATCCCTTTTCTACTACTATCTCAGACGTCCTATTAGTTCAAGGTCTTAAACACAATCTTATTAGCCGTAGTCAATTATGCGACAAAAGTTATAAATTTCATTTTCAAAATATTGTTGTATTATTGAACACAATGATAAGAAGGATGATGTGTTTAAGGGCCTGAGGGTAAACAATGTCTATATGCTTGACTTTAATGAAGTATTTTTAACTAGCACTAAATGTCTTGTCACCATGAGTGAAGATTCGTGGCTATGGCATAGGCGCTTAGCGTATGTAAACTTTTACTTGCTAAATAAAGTAGTTTTAAAGGAGCTAGTTGTCGGTCTACCCAAAATAAAATCTGAAAAAGATCACTTATGTGATGCGTGCCAAATAGGGAAGAAAATGAGGATCTCATTTAAATCTAAAAATGTTGTTTCTACAACGAGACCTCTTGAACTCCTCCATATGAACCTTTTTGGTCCATCTAGGATCAAAAGCTTGGGTGGTAATTATTATGGTTTTGTTATTGTAGACGACTACTCTAGATTTTGTTGGACTATTTTCTTAGCCAGTAAGGGTGATACGTTTTTTTAGCATTTGAAAAGTTTGACAAGCTATCTCAAAAAAAATTAAATACTAGCATTGTCACAATCCGAAGCGATCATGGATGTGAATTTGAAAACCACCTCTTTGAGTAATTTAGTGATAAGAATGGCATTGATCATAATTTTCCGCTCCACTTACTCCTCAATAAAATGGAGTGGTGGAACGTGAAAATCTCATTTTAGAAGATTTAGGAAGAACTATGATCAATGAGAGTGACCATCCTAAATACTTTTGGGCCGATGCTATTAGTACGACGTGTTATGTTTTGAATATGATGCTTATTCGTCCCATTGCCAACAAAACTCCATATGAGCTTTTAAAAAGAAGGAAGCCTAATGTATCATATCTTCATGTTTTCAATTGTAAATGCTTTCTGTTAAATAATGGTAAAGAGAATCTTGGAAAATTCGATTCAAAAGCCGATGAAGATATCTTTCTTGGATTCTCTCAAACTAGTAAAGCATATATAATATACAATAAAATGTTACTTATTGTAGAAGAATCCGTGCATGTTAATTTTGACGAATCTTATCTGAAAAATGTCGGGAAAGATATTTATTTTCATGGTGCAGGTGTATCTTTAGAAGACATAGTTAAAGACACTAAAAAAGGGATTGATCAACCTGAATCGATGAAAGTTAAGGAGGAGCAAGATCACAACCCTGAAAAGATTGAGGAGGATCATCCAATTAGCAACGATGACCTTCCTCCAACATGGAAATCCTATAAGGATCATCCTGTTGCAATTGTGAAAAGACTGGCGGAAAAATACAGAAGAGTCGCCACCGAAACGTTATTTATCCTAAAGAATGGAAATGAACTAATCAAAGAAAACCTAAGAGAAAGGAGAAGACAAGGTCATCGCAACCAAATCTTGGGTTCGGAAGTCGATCATGCGAGGGAAAGGTATGAGCACCCCTCACGTCTATTGTACTCAACGAGATCCATGCTTGTTGTCTAATTAAAAAGGTGTGTTATCTAAAAGCTACTGCTAAACGGGGGAGAGAAAAGAGAAAGAAGACTCGATAGGACGTGCAATGGGAAAATCAGAGTCAATGTAGTTCGGAAAACTACGGGTGAAGGGGGGAAGGTTGCTCGCCAAGACATCACCGTCTTGTGCCTACGTATCCTCATCTGGTATGAGAAATCAGAGCAAACGTAGTTCGGGTAACTAAACAACTGGTTGGTTGAGTGTTTTTTATGAGTGATGCTATGTTTCCATTCTAATAGTTAGGGATAATTCCTGTTTGTGGTAGAACAGAAAAGTAACGTACTCTTTTCTAAAAATGATTTTGAAGAAATCCCGAAGGATAAAAATGTTTGAATTTGGTTTAAGAGTTTTAGAGAAGTGAATTGAATTTGTTTGAGATTCACGTTGCACTAAAGACTATGATATAGGAGCGAATGTGTAGCATATCGCCCAAGGGGCATACACTAAAAAATCTATACAAATGAGGAGAAACCCCCCACCCATCATTTCCCATATGCTTAAGGCTTGTGGCGCACAACGTTCATCATTCTTTATTAAGTGTCTTAGAGTTGTTTGAGATGAGAAGAGAAGACACAAACAAAAAACAGTAAATGGAACTGTAAACCCTAATGTTATCATACAAAATGGTCCTAAGGTTAGGATGAAAAGGAAGTTTACCTAATGTTATCATACAAATGGTGGACCTATAGTTGAGGTCAAGAAGGGACTATCCTAATTGTTATCATGCAAAGGATTGAAAGCCTAATATCTCTCATACTCCTACCTTAATGAGAAATTAA